ACTGTAAATTATGGATAAGTTGCTGATCTTCATTGGTGGAGAATGTTTTCACACTGGGAATTCTTCACATTGCGGGGGTGAATACCACCAAAAACTCAACCAAATATAAACGTGTTTATGATACTCCTTTAGGCTGATCTTTATTTTCTGTGGAGTATAAACTTACACTTGTCTAAATACACATATGTACTTTTGCCTCTATCTGTAAATGAATGTTTCAAGAATTTCCTACTTATGTGAGTCCTGTAAAAACAGCTTAGAGTTCTAGAACACCCATGAGTGTATAGGTTAAAGATTCTCATAAAACATTGGATGCTAGCTCTGATTCTTAGAAAGAATCTGTGATCTTATCACTGGCTTCTCCTTCCATGTTTCATGAGTTACTGAGGCTGAAAATGCACCTAGTGGTCAGCCTCCTCGTGATCTCTCTGAACTTGGTTCTGAAGTTGAACCTTCAACAACAAACAGGTAGTCTATCACAGGCCCTGTACTTGAAGCTTTTCCAGATAGATGAGCTCTTCCAGGGCAGGTACCACCATTGACACAAGCATTAAAAGGGCCCAGTATCAACAATGGCACAAAGAGACATTGGTGTAGGACTTTAATGAAGTGCTAGTTATTTAAGTAAATACCATGGCTTGTGTGTACATTGCCTTATTACTAGTACTAATGAATTATAATAACTTTCTTCGCATATACATGACTCAATCCTAGTTGTTGTCACTCCCTAGAAGCTCACTTTTTCCTTTAACTCAAAGCTTTATTTCAAATACAATGAAACATAGTTTAAAACATGTTACTATGTACCAACCGGTTCTCCTTTTGTGCCTGGTAATCCTTTTGTGCCAGGTTTTCCAGGAATTCCAGCTGAGCCCTTTTCTCCAGGGTCTCCTCTGTTCCCCGGATCCCCTCGATCTCCTACTTCTCCTTCATGTGATGTTTCACCCTTTTCTCCTTTTTGTCCCTGATCACCAGGAGTACCTGGGTATCCCTAGGGAGAATAAGAAAGATACCTTGTTTACATTTTTGTGAAATTGGTTTTGTATTAATCTTAAATACATAAAACAGTAGCATGCATTTGTAGTGAGCTTTTGGGTTCTCAGAGCTCATTTACATACCTTATCTCATCTGATTCTCCTGACAACCCCATGAGGTAGATACTATTATTACCCACGTTTTACAGGTGAGGAAACAGACTGGAGGAGTAAAATGACTTTCTAAGGTTTGCACAGCTAGCAAGGGTCTGAAATGGGATTTGAACCCAGTTTTTACATCATGCCGTTATCAAATAAAACTTATTACATATTAAAACATTTTCAGTCTTGAGGAAAACATCAAGGTTTTATCACTGTATTCCCTCCATATTTCATGAGTTACTATGGTTGAAAATAGCATCACGTGATGGCCAATTTACCAACAAGGCAAATTTTATTCATGTGACTGCTCCACTAAGATGCTTCTGTTGGAAAGTTGAACATTATTATGTTAATACAATAATCATAATGATTGATATTCAGTACAATAATCTAAACAGGGGCTGTGGTTGAACTTTGATTATCTTTAACTTTCATTCAGGAAAAGTACATCCTATTTTCCATTAGTTGATCGGGGTCCCCATCCTCCAGGGTTCTATGATTACAGAGTTTCAGAGAGCAATGGTGACAGGTTTCCTGGCTGGTCACTCTAAGCAAAGGGAAATGATATATAGGTAGGTGGCTGGTTGGCGCAGTAGGGAGTTCTGCCCAAGTATCTGGGCCACTCAAGAACTGGTATTCTCATCTCTCAGTAAAACTGAACTCACATTCCACCTTAGCTCATAGCATGATCCCAAGATAATGGAGGATGAGGCACACCCAGAAGATTTAGAGAAGGCTCAGCAAAAACATCCTTCCCCATTCCCCATCCTATTCTCTTATTCTGATCCCCTGAACTTGGTGGGACAAACGCTTTAAAGAAATTCCTTTATGTTGGTGCCACTTTCTACCAGGAGCTAAGATGTTTATAGGTGTTGTAACTTCCATTCTTGCTATATTTTATCAGTATCTATCCCTTTGTAAAAGCTAATTGATGTTAATTGGTGAAATGATACTGTGGTTTTAATCACTGATCATTAATATTGGGGCAAACAGTGGAATCAGAGAACACTCCCAACCTCTAGAACAATGGTGGGAAGATAGAGATAAAGATATAGCTTTATTCTAGGGGACCTGACTCATTACTGTAAGTGGGACTTGGGATAAAGACCTCAATCATTATAAAGGCTACAGCATAATCAGAAAGACCTGATACCTAGTCACTTATGTGTGTAAGGCAATAGAACTTGATGAGCCTTTGCCTTTAAGGGTAATGGGGATATGAGCCTTGGTAATTGCTAGGAGTGGCCACCAGCTTTTCCCTTCCACCTGAGAATAGAAGGGCATGGGAAATGAGAAAGTAAATGTGTGAGGAAAGATGTGATAGTTTCTCCAACATCAGGGTGAGTCAACAGGAAGAGCTGAATGGGTATTGGCAGGGTGAGGGGAGGAGAGAGAGAGAGAGAGAGAGAGAGAGAGAGAGAGAGAGAGAGAGAG